GGTTTGTGACTGAAAATAACAAAGCAGTGGAGTCACTGGCAAAGCTTGCTTGAAGAGGGTTAAGCTATCCCAGAAGGAAGAGTGAACCCAGCCATGTGAAAGGGTGGAAGGGCTTTCCTGGCATAGAAAGTAGAAGATTTCTACGGCCCTACAGAAAAATAAGAATCTCCCCAAATCCAAAAAACAAAACAAAACAAAACAGCTTAATGAGTTTTAGGAACAATCAAATTACCATTTGGAGTTCAGGGAGCAAGAGAGAATATGGCACAAGCAGAGGTTGGAAAGAAAGGCAGGCACCAAAATATACAGGCGTTGGAAGGAGCTGGGCTTTCATTTTCACATTATTTATTCAGTGGAAGAACTAGTAATTAGTCCTTAAATGTAGATAAATATGGAAAAATTCAAAATTCTATCCAAAACGATCTTAGTTGCAAGCCATGAAAAAAAAAAAGAAGAAAGAAAAAAAGGCAGAACATCAAATTGTGTTTCAGTCACTCTCTAAATGGAAAGTCTGGTTTTAAGGTAATTAGAACAGAATGCTTACCATAGAAATATGTTACCAATAGCCTCATAATTACAAGTAGGGGAATTCTATGTCATTCTTCTAGGAATGAATTCTGCAAACCAATTGTGCTCTGGAACAAAAGATGCCGGAGCATTTCAGAGAACCTTATGCTTTCTTGTGCATTTCTGAATTTGAGGGTATGTCGCAGGGCACCGGGGCTGCCAGGAGAGGACTTAGAACTCAGAATTTCTTAAACCTGAAACTTGGGAAGACAAGGGTTTTGTAACGAATTAAGCATTTTTCCTTTGGTAAGGGTTGACCAAGACAAGGCCAGCTAACGTGCAGAAAGCACATCTTATTCTCATACTTCATCTATTTGGAAAGAGAAATCACAGTTGGAAAGATTTCTAAACATTACCGCTCTGCAACAGTATGACCATGGCAAGAATTGATGGGAAAACTAATCATGGAAATGGAAACTGAAGCAAAAGAATAAGAGAGCAAAACAATGAAAATGATTTCACAGACCAGAATGATCACACAGAGGGTGGAGCACGTTTTGCATGCTGGAACCCCGGGTTTAATTCCCAGTTTCGTACAATCCCCCTCAGCTCCATAAAGAGCAGCCTCTGAGCACTGACACAGGCGTGTCCCATGAGAACCATTGGTTTTGGCCCCCTGTTTTCCAAACGTAATTTTGTAAAGCCTAAGGACAAATTGTTTTATAAAAGGAAAACAATTTTGTAGGAAATTTGTTGAAGCTGAAGATTTTACAGATGTGTACATGTGTTTCCTCTTCAGATCTCTTCGCCTTCCCTTGCAATGGTGAATGTTGAGAATCATGAGAACTGATCTTTATAAAGTAGTATATAGATAAAAGACTCTTTATCGTCTCCCTTGCAGCAGATTTCTTTGTAACCACCTTTGCATTCTAACCTGATTTAAGAAATTCTATTGAATTTCCCACTGATGAGTAAGTAGAGCTCAAAGCTTCTTTAGAAGTGAAATAAACGTGTTTAGATTTAGCTTCTTTCGGTCTCCTGTGAGAGACTGGACTTGCTCTCAGCGACTCCTTACAAAAAAAAGAGAATGGAAGAAATCCTTAACAGAATAGCAAGTCAAATCTAACAATATTTTATTAGATAATGCACAAAGACTAGGAATTAGAGTTGATTTAAAATTCAAAACGAATCAAAAGAAACGTTTTCATTTTAGCAGAATGAAAAAGGAATGATTCAAGCCACATACCGTTGTCATCTGAAAATATTTTATGTACATAATGTCACTCACTCATTCTGTACATAAATTTAAGTCATATTTTTCTTGAATTGATAAAAAGCCAGCTAAGAAAAACCTGATGCAAAATCTAACTTTACTATTGAAAGACAGAACTAAAGTGCTAACACTGAATCACATCTTATCAACATCTTGCTGAAGGTCCTAATTATTGCAGCAAGAAAAAAAAAGTTAAAGATCCTGAAACTCCAAGAAAGAAAAACTTGTTAATATGCTTATTATGCACATTTAAAAATCCAGAGTAATTTACAAAATAACTATTCACTACTGTTTTGAACAAAGATTCATGCTATAGTCAGTATAAAAAAATGCAGTAATGCATAAACCACATATAATAAAGAATGTAAAAATACTTTGTTATTTTTGCATTTGTTAATACTTTGTAAAAATACTTTGAATAAGCAACAAAGAATGTGAAAATACTATCTACTATTATAGCATATGTAAATTTGAGTTTATAAATCACAACCCATTTAGCAAAATATGTGTAACCTCAGTACACAGATAACTACAAGTGTTGAGAAATTAACTGGGATAACTTGAAACGGAAATAAGTGTAAAAATAAACTATGCTCATGGGTTAGAAGACTCGATCTCGTTTAGGTGCTATTTCTCCCCAAATTGAATACATGTACTCAGTACTCATAATCAAAATACTAATATACTGTACTTGTAGAAATTAACAGGCTGAGATTCTCTAATATTTAAGTATAAGTGTGAAGAACTTGATATAGCCTAAACAAAAGGTAGAACAACACAGTGGGGTAAGATGGCTCCTAGACTCCACCCCCTGCTCAACAGGTAAGTATAGTTCCTTCCCCTAGAGTATGGGAGTGACTTGTGAATGCTATGGCCCTTGCTCTCATAATTAGATTAAATTCAATGGCAAAAGTCAATGGATTTTTACAAATGGCTTCAAATCAGGATTGAGATGGCTTCAAGTGTATGTATTGGTCCACCCAGCCAGATAGAAATCTTTGATTCTTATCTTGTGGATGACTCTTAATTATCTCTCAAGCTATGGAAAACATGTTTATGGTGCTGTTAAGCTCTGGCATCAGACTGGAACGAAGGTGGGAGTATGTTATGTCTTTTTGGTCAGGGTACCACAGGAGTATGTTTATGGAGAGTGCAGGCTTTGGTAAGACTGGCTATTTGACTGGATGTTACCATGCTAGATGGGAAGAGAGGGAGCTGAAGGTGCTAGATCAGGACTTCTCACAGTAGGACATCTCAGACTTCTGTGTGCTTGGAAGTGACTTTAGTATCATTTTAAAACGCAGGCTCAGGGCATGTACCAGGCTAGAATGCAGCATTCTGTACACAGCTGTCAGGAGATTCAGGTGCAGCAAAACTCTGGGGCCATGCTCCAAACAGTAAAAAAAGAAAAAGAAAAACAAAAACAAAAAAACAGTAAAACTGCGAGGCTTACCATGTCTGAGGGTAGCTAACAGTGCTATTTAGCAGGTATGAAATTTGTAGCGGAAACCTTAACGTTTTGAATAACCCCAAATTTATTCATTAAACTTGGAGAGATCCTAATGATAGCCGGGCTAATAAAATCTCCCCCCCCCAACTTTTCTTATCTTGTATATTTACCAAATGAATGAAAATTGTTTACTCCAAAGCAGAATAAATTACTAGGAACTCCAGTAGGAACTAAAACTCTGTGAGTAATCTAATGTTGTTTATTGTCATTGTTGATCAGTATATTTTAAGCAACAATTTGAAATGCTCATAATGTGATAAGTTTTAAGGATTTTTTTTTTTCTGTTTGGATCACACCTGGCGATGCACAGGGGTTACTCCTGACTCTGCACTCAGGAATTACTCCTTGCGGTGCTCAGGGGACCATGTTGGATGCTGGGAATTGAACCTGGGTTGGCCGCATGCAAGGCAAATGCCCTACCTGCTGTACTATCACCCTAGCTCCATTAAGGATGAAAAATTTTTGTATGAGGAGGGAGGTCCATGATTATTCATGTCATGACAGATATACTTGGAGAAGAATTTAGAAACAGTTTGATCCCTAATATAGCCTGGAGTCATAACCACTAGGGATTTTATACAAAGTGGTATTAAAAGATTTATCATTTTTGTTAATAAACGGTAGGAGTTTTTATGATGTTAGAAATGAGATAAAAATTATTACTGTAAATATTGATATTGCATGTTTCTGTTATTAATAAATTATTATTTGGAGACAGTAGCTATATTTTTCCCTCCCTCTGTGTGGATTTCCTTTTTAAAATTACATTTATTGACTCTATAAAAAAAAATCACATTTCTTTTTTCCCCCCTATGGCAATGTCAAGGATTGAACACAGAACCTCATATATGCAAAACAAGTGCTTATTTATGAGCAATATTCCCTGCCCCATTCACCTTTTCTTTTAAATTCTTTGCTGAAAATCCTGGGCCCATTTGTTTCTTATTTTATTTGACTTCTTTTGCTATTAGTAAAACGAAAGATAATATAGTAAATTGGGTTCTTTTTTTCTCTTTCTATGATTATGTGCTAATGAGTCAAATAAATCTTTAGATCACAGATAAACTTAAAAGTTACTCCAAAAAATTAGGAATTTTTCTTTACCTTCCGTTTAGTCCACAGAAGGAAAGTGGCTTAGCTAAAGCCACTTGCTAAGGCTATCTAAATTAATACATTTGCTGGAAATGTGACTTCTGGACATTTTATAGCAGTGATTTTAATGCTGTTAGTGGTGAAATAGAAACTTGAGAATGTGAAGAATAATTTAAACCACATGATGAGTTCAAGGAAAAGAGACACAGACTCCAGTCTCTTCAGTGTGTGCTAACTCTGTACAGTAGGGAATGGTTTCCAAAAAACCACCAGTGAACTTCTAAACCCTCTTGAGAGGAATTAAACCAACACAATTACCCCTAAAAGGGGAACTGTTCTGTGCTTTTTTCTTCAAATCTCACAAACAGTTCCCTAGACTGGAGGGAACGCACTTGGGAGAACAAGATATAAGAGGAATTCTAACCATTACCACTAATGCAATGAAGTTAGAACTGTTTTCCTAGCCATTAGCTTGTTTACTGATTTGCCTTCTGATCTAGATGCCAAATTATGTTTTTTGCTTTTTACTTTGTTTTCTTTTTTTTTTCAAGATACTTAACAAATTGTATGTTTTGGAGGATAAGTAAATTTGAAATGACATTTCTTTTTCCTTTTCAGTTTGTTGTAGCAGTGTTCTGGATCATTTATGCCTATGACAGAGAGATGATCTATCCGAAGTTGCTTGATAATTTTATCCCAGGATGGCTGAATCATGGAATGGTGAGTGGACTAAAGCAAATGAACTTTTTTTATTGAAAGAAATAATTCAATGGTGAATTGTCTTCTACTTTAGGCCTAACATAGAATCTACACAAATTGCTGTGAAATGTTAAATGGTTGTAATGAAAGGGCGCAGACGGATAGTGCAAAAGGTAGGGCCTTTCTTTGCATTTGACTGACCCCAGTTTGAATCTGTGGTGCTACATATGCCCCGAACCTCCATCCCCCAACCCCGCCACACTCCCCAGCACTACTAAAAGTCACTGTTGAACACAAAGTCAGGAATACTTACTGAGTACTATTGGGTGCGGCCTAACCTTCCCCCAAAATATGAATATGATCAATTATCTAGAGATGAATGCCTTTTTATGAGTTGCTATTCAAACTATGAAGTAAGTATATTTCATTGTGGGATATATTTAATTCCTATGCTCTGCAGAGACTTGACCTTTGTTGGAATCTAAAGATCAGTTTCCTTCTGCCTAAGTTCACCCCTTCCGACTCCTCTTCAATTTCTATAAATGGGATTGTTTGTTTTTGTCTTCCAATGTCTGCTAATCCCCCAGAGATTAGCAGGCATTGGAATGTCCTGAGCAATGGATATAGTCTATACATTGAGAATATTAATGTGCAACTGATAAGTTTTTTTTTCCTCCCCAGTCTAATTTTCTGCTGGCTTAGCCATGATATTACATTCACAAATTTCAAATCAAATAGTTTGCAAAACACCCTATAAGATTTGAGATTTACATTTTCTGCAGGGAAATTTTGTGTTGTCTTCTCCTTGCTTCTGGAATTGAACACTCTTTTGTTATGAACTAAGAAGCCTGCATTCTTTTTGGCTACAGCAATTTTTAGAATATGTCATTGGTTGCTCCTGGTGAAAAGGGCAACCCACCACAGAAATTATAGGGGAACGAAGAGCTAGAAATCACGAGTCTTGGGTCCAAAATAACAGCTTCCCTTCTGCTCTCAATTTTTGTATATTTTGAGAAAGTGGTGTGTACTAACAAATAGTCATGACTGTACTCAGGGGTTTTGATCCATCCTTTATTAAATCAACTCATCAAATTGGCACATCTCAGAGAACTGGAGTTTTCTTTGAGTCTAATTAGAGTCACAGAATTGGAGGATTAACATGGCACCTTTGGTTTCAAACAAATAAGCTGTGTCTTGTCACTGTGACTTAATTATCTCAAGGGTCTGGCATGGTTATTCTTCCCTTTCCAGCTTTAAATTTGTTGAGAATGTGAAAAACCCTTTCAGAATTCCACATTTCTGCAATACTGCTTAACTCGTCTTCTCATTCTTTACAGGAAAACTCCTGCTCATCCTGTATCTTCTCTAAAACGCCCTTCCTATTTCCACTAAGATCTTCTGTTCATGGTGTGCTTCTAAAGCATTCTCTTCATCTCTTTATTACACAAGCTGATTTACCCTACAACAGTGTTAATAGATCATGAGGACTCTTTCAAGCCATATGGCATATAGCAGGAGCAGTGCATATTTATTAGATGAATGCGGGAATTCAGCAGAGCTGATATTCATACTTTTTTTGTCAGTCAGTTTACTAATAGTTACTTTGAGAACTTATGATGTTCCAGACATTACGTTTTGATTACCTGATTTTATTCTAACTTTATTTGGGGGGAAGGCCTCCCCAGCACCAGAATTACACCTAGCAGTACAATGGCAGTCATGCGGTGCCAGCAATCTAACCTAATACCTAATTGTGCCAAGCAGGTGCTTTATCAGAGAGGCACATCTACAGACCCCTGATTTATTTCAGAAATGAGATTGTGGTAATAAGTGATCATTCTCTGTACAGATGAAGAAGTAGCCTCAGAAAGTTTGAAAGTATAAGGATGTTAGCTGAGACAAATGATTATCTAATCTGCTATAGAGGCACAGGGTTGTTTGAGTGTTGACCTGTTGTCTGCATTCTTAACCTACACAATGTTGCCTTTTTCCCAGAGAATGAATCACACCCTTTGCAGATCTTGGCATTATTTAGCCCTTTTGAATAGTTTATTAAGTATGCAGCCACTGAACTTCATTTGACTCAATTTTTCCTTCATTCACTTTGATGGGTTAATATTCTCACTCTTAGGGAGGCAATCTTAGAAACGCAAGGGTGGATTTGAGTGGCATAAATATTTAGGAAAGGGAAATTATACATTCATTGATGTGTCATATCCTCTCAGTATGTGGTTGGTGGATTCTTTCTCAACGAATTTTCTCTCTTAGTGGAGGTGAATGGCCACCCTTTTGCTGTTCTTCATGCAGAAATTCATAGGCCATAGTTTCAGAATTATTAACAAAGAACATGCATATGGTGGCTGAAGAACATTTTGCAATATTAGACAACTTGTATTGCCCTAAACTTTGTATGTGTGTAATTTATTAATTTATTTTCTGTGATCTCGGGGACCAAAACCAGGGCCTTATCATATTGGGGTATAGCCCCAGCACTCTGAGCACTGCTACCGTGGCCCTCATATTTGCAGGTACTTCAGGGCATGGACACCACCAACTAGCCTGGTTGATTGAGAATCAGAAGAAATGCCCCAGACTCTCTAATTTCTGCTTGAGATTCCTCCAAAACAAAGCCTCACTTTGATGAAGACCATTTCGCAAATGATTTCTGGACCCTAAGTTCTATTTGCTGTCATTTGTTTAGATTTCTACAGCAATAAGAATTCTGGAGAATGTGCTCTGTTCTTACATCTAAATCACATTCATTGATTCAAGAACTTCAAAATAATTTCTAGAGATCCAGAAAGCTGACCAAGGATGCTTGTTGCCATTTGCAGGACTGTCATAGTTCCCTTTCAGGTCACTCACTCTTGATTTGCCAGCATTGATAATGCCTATCACAAAAGTTAATAACAGGGCTAAAAAATAAAACCTCATAAGGCATTAGAGTTTCAAAGCTCTCGTATTAACATTAGCTCAAGATGTCAGAAGTCAGATATGATCATAACTAAAGAAAACTATACTGTTCCTTACTTTCTATTATTTACCCCTTTCTTAGCAAGCTTATTTTGAATGCATTAGAAGAGAAGAGGAAATAGATGAGGAATAGATGAGTCCAAATATTAATATGACCTTACTGTTCCAAGAAGAATAGCAGCTTGCTATTGCAGTTGAAAGTATAAGCATGTGGGGCTGGAGGAATTGCCCATTGGGTAGGGTGTTTGCCTTGCACGCGGCCAACCCAGGTTCAATTCCCAGCATCCCATATGGTCCCCTGAATACTGCCAGGAGTAATTCCTGAATGCGGAGCCAGTAATAACCACTGTGCATTGCCGGGTGTGATGCAAAAAGCAAAAAAACAAAAAGTATAAACTTTTTTATACTTGGAAAATGGCAAATTTCAGTGTGGTCCATTCATTCAGTATCCCTAACAAAAATTTATTCTATTCTTGCGATCATCTTTGTCTTGTATTCCCAGAAATTCGAATAGCGAATGGTACACTTTAGCCAGGTGGTAATAATAGCCAGGTGTTGGTAATAAAAAGGGTATTTGTGAATTTGCTTTTGAAATGTAATAGAAATTTACATTTGTAATTCTATTATTATACTATTTTTATATCCTCAATACTGTGATGATCCGATAAAAGGAAAACAGGCGATGTTGGCAATAAATCACGATTTATATGATTTTAATGAGAGTGGAGATGGATATTTGTGGAAGGGTTCTGCACAGTTTGCCACATGTAGGAGCTAATCTTTGATTTAGTTTAATCTTGGAAATATTTCCTCAGAGTCTGAAATATGCTTGCATCCTACTAGGCACTGTGAGGGGCTAGAGAGTGAGGAAAAGACTCAGAGTTCTAAAGGATGGAAATGGCAAGTTCGAGGTTGAAGGAATTAAGCAGTAAGGCAGTTCCACAAGCCAACAGACTAATCTCCAAAAGGCTGTAGTTACTCTGATAAAGACGAACACGAACACTGTTATTACTCAAGCCTGTTTTTCTGGTGCAAAAATAGAACCTTGAACCTTTCTCTTTCAGCTAATTATAATTTTAAAGGAATGTCAATGTAGTAAACATACATTAACATCAATAAATAAATAAATATTTAAACTCTGGAGAAATTGTAGACTTGCCATGATGCTATAAAGAGGAAAAACCAACAATGAAACATTGTCACTGTTTATTGAAGACCTAATTAATGTTTAGAAAGTGCTTTGAGAATGCCAGGCACTGCAGAAGGTTAGGATATTATTATTATTATTATTACCACAGCTCTTTCAGCAGACATGACCTAGATATTCTCATAATCACAGCAGGAGTTGTTCACTCCCCATATAATTTATGAGGAGAGGGGAAAAAAATTAAACTCCGCCTCTCCTCATGTTTTATTTGCCAGTGGATCTTGTTATAGTGAACTGATCCTCAGAGAACCTTAATTTAGGCAACGATTTATTCTGTTCAATATTATTTTGACATTTGATAATTACTGAAGTTTTTCTACATCTGTCTTTCCCAGAAAATATGGCATTCAATCCTGTGTGGATGATCATTGGTTTTGCAAGAACTCAGCTTTGATGTTATTCTTTAGGTGGATAACAAGACTTTTGCAAAGTTTCCAGTTCTGGGATATGTAAATTATGCATTTGGTGGCATATGGCATAAGTATGTGTCACCTTGATATTGGCTATTTCATAAAATAATCTGCTGATTGAATGAAGCTCTTCATATTTATTTCCAATGGAAAAAAACTCACCTTTCTCAATTTTCCTCATTTGTTTTAGAGTAACTAGGAGATACCTGGACATTTTAAAAAATAAAATATTGCAATAAAATTCAGAAATTTCTTGGAAATATTATTGTTCTAAGATCCCCAATTGACAGCTTCTCACTGTTCCCTCTGAAGGAGAAAGAAAATACACCCAAATAAACAAGGAATAAATAAAAAGTATCTGCCTTACATGTACAGAAAGGCAGATACTTCCAGAAATCTTGTATACTCTTCTTGTATGTAAGCTTTTTCAA